AATGAATGAGGTTCTAAGAGGTTTTATTTGTTGTTTTGTGGTAGTTTACTTTGATGATATATTGATTTACAGCAAGTCTTTTGTTGAACATATGGATCACTTACATGCTATTTTTAATGCTTTACGTGATGCATGATTATTTGGTAACCTTGAGAAATGCATCTTTTGCACGGATCGAGTTTCTTTTCTTGGCTATGTTGTAACTCTAGGGAATTGAGGTGGACGAGATGAAAATTGAAGCCATAAAGAGCTGGCCGGTTCCCCAAACCATCACATAGGTGAAGAGTTTTCTTGGTCTTGTAGGATTCTACCGCTGCTTCATCAAAGATTTTAGCACCATTGCTGCCCTATTGCATGAGTTGACAAAGAAAGGGGTGGTGTTTCATTGGGGAAAGACACATGACGAGTCCTTTGACACTTTGAAGGACAAGCTCACACACGCACCATTGCTGCAACTTCCAAACTTTGGTAAGACTTTTGAGCTAGAATGTGATGCTAGTGGAGTTGGCATTGGGGGTGTTTTGATGCAAGATGGTAAACCCATTGCTTACTTTAGTGAAAAATTGCATGGCCCTGTTCTGAATTATTCCACGTATGATAAGGAATTGTATGCACTTGTCCGTTCTTTAGAGACGTGGCATCATTATTTGTTGTCTAAAGAATTTGTTATTCATTCTGATCATGAATCGCTTAAGTATCTTCGCTCTCAACATAATCTGAATCGTAGACATGCTAAATGGGTTGAATTTATTGAATCTTTTTCTTATATTATCAAACACAAGAAAGGGAAGGATAATGTGATTATTGATGCTTTGTCTAGACGATATACCTTGCTGTCCCAACTTGATTGTCAGATTTTTGGGCTTGAATCAATAAAAGAACAATATGTGTTTGATCATGATTTTAAGGACGTGTTGCTGAATTGTAGAGAGGGACGTACATGGAATAAGTTTATGATCAATGATGGGTTTTTGTTTAGAGCTAACCGTCTCTGCATTCCATTTGGCTCCGTTCGTTTTTTGTTATTGCTGGAGGCACATGGAGGCGGATTGATGGGACATTTTGGTGCCAAGAAGATGGAGGAGGTGCTGTCCACACATTTCTTTTGGCCAAGGATGAGGTGAGATGTAGAACGGTACATGGCTCGGTGCGCCACATGTCAAAAAGCTATGTCGCGGTTGAACCCACATAGTTTGTATATGCCTCTTCCAGTTCCTTCTATTCCTTGGGCTGATATATCTATGGATTTTGTGTTAGGTTTGCCAAGGACTAAGAGGGGGAGGGATAGTATTTTTGTGGTAGTTGATCATTTTTCTAAGATGGCACATTTTATTCCCTATCATAAGAGAGACGATGTTGTTCATATTGCTGACCTTTTCTTTGAAGAAATCGTTCGCTTGCATGGTATGCCTTCTACTATTGTTTCAGATCGCGATGCAAAATTCTTGAGTCATTTTTGACGCACTTTGTGGAATAAATTAGGGACCAAGCTATTGTTTTCTACAACCTGTCATCCCTAAATTGATGGGCAAACTGAGGTAGTGAATCGAACATTGTCCACCATGTTGAGAGCAATTTTGAAGCGCAATTTGAAGATGTTGAAAGAGTGTTTGCCGCATGTGAAGTTTGCATATAACAGAGCGAAACATTCCACCACCAAGATAAGTCCCTTTCAGGTAGTGTATGGTTTTAACCCCCGCGCTCCTATTGATCTTTTGCCTTTACCTACCACTGAGAGAACACATAGTGATGCTAGAGAGCGTGCTGATTTTATTCATAAGTTGCACGAAACAACTAGAGTAAATATTAAAAGAATGAATGAAAAATATAGAATTGCTGGTAGTAAAGATAGAAAAGAAATTAAACTTGAATCGGGTGATTTGGTTTGGTTACCTTTGAGAAAAGATAGATTTCCTAAGCTGTGTAAGTCTAAATTAATGCAAAGAGCAGCTGGTCCTTATAAGAAAATTGAGAAAATAAATGATAATGCCTACAAACTTGAGTTGCCACCTGAGTTTAGGGTTAGTCCCCACCTTTAACATTGCAGATTTAAAACCTTATTTGAGAGAAGAAGACGAGCTTGAGTCGAGGACGACTCAGTTTCAAGAGGGGGAGGATGATGAGGACATCACTCCTTCGGATGTACCCGCTGATCCTCCAACCGTTATGCAAGGTCCAATGACCCGAGCTCAAATGCGTCAACTCAATTTAGAGGCGAGCTCGTTCTTAAACGATCTTTTTCATACTTTTGAAAATAGACTACTACCTAATGATGTTATCTTGCTTAGGAACATAGGAGAGAGTTATGAGGAGCTTAGAGAAAGGTATAGAGGTGGAGAAGACCAGCAAGGACGACCAACACAAGCTGGAGGCCCAACCCAACTCGACTTCGACTCTGCCTCGGCCTTCAGGACCAGTCAGTAGTAAAACGGACGCCCAGGACGCATCCGGACTCCGTTTTTGATGATCCACATATGGTTGGAAAGCTAATTCCATAAGCTAACTAATGGCTTTGGTTTGAGGAACAAATTCCACGGGAATCAACAGGAATCATCGAAACAAGTCAGAGTCCAGAATCTGTCAGGTGCTGCGTCACTGTTTTTGGTCTGTTGGGCCGTGTATCATCTGTGAGCCATTATGAGGCGCGTCCAGGGGTCTTTGCACGACCCTAGAGTCTTCATAAACAGCCGCCACCCCTTCATTAGGGTTTGGGTTTTGTTTAGAATAATCTGTTAAGAATAGTTTCGCCGTTCATCGGTTTGTGCGACCCCAACATCGTAAGATTAATCATTCATCTGTAATTTGGTTGTTTTCTTTCTTGCTCTTGCTTGTGTTCTTCGTTGCGCAGGCAGGGGTTAGCCTTCTTGGCGAGGTCAACCGGAACCGTGTCTCGGTTGATAACCAGAGGAGTTATGGTGCTAAGATTGCAGGGTTCGATCTTTTGATCCAAAGCCGGATCGGTGTGTCATTCTCCGCCACAACGATTGTTACCTCTACCTGACGGAAGATCGGGAACCCCATCCTCCACGTTTGGGGCTCAAAGTTGACAATACGATAATATTCTCTCTCACTACTAACTACTTTTTTACAATGATGAAAGGAAAGGTGAACCTAAAGTATATACCAAAACAACTCATGAAAGTAGACTAGTTGAAAACCATGTTAGCTGAATAGTTTATTCTGTTGATTCATCAGGCCTGCTTCCCGTTAACAAGTCCTTTAAAAACACAATAAGCAAAAAAAAACGGCCCATATATGTTCCAAAAGTCATATAGGCTTCACTGTTCATTGCTACTACCTACTTGTTCAATAATTGTACTATCTGCGTGTAGTTGCAGTCGGGCTTCCGGATTAGTAACGACAGGTCCTCAGCTAATAGACGAACCTTCCTTTATTGAAGCCTCTGTCTAAGTGCAGCACCTCTTTGCTGTCCATTTCGAGTTGGGATAACTCATCGGTAAATCTTGGGGCTTAATGCTATCTGTGGAGAATAGCGCATTTCATTTATTTTCCGAAAGCACCAGAAAATTATTTTCCTCAATGCACAATTAAAGTAAGTAAAAAATGCCAGCAGAAGAAATTTATAGAAAAAAACCCTCAAAAAAGTTGTTAAGCATGATTGTTATGGGCTAGGCCATAGATGGCCAACGGGCCGGCCCGGCACGGCACGGCATGGGCCCGTCAAAAGCACGGCCCGGTGCTAACGGGCCAGGCACGGCACGCCGGGCCACCGGGCCATGCCTAAAAGGGCCACGGGCCTAGCCGATGGCCCAGACACGGCCTGCTAGTCCGTTTTTCGGGCTGGGCCGGCCCGAAAAGCACGACCAATCCAGCGTGTCGGGCCAGCCCGACGCCCACGAGAGAGGGAAGGGGAGAGCAGGAGGCAGGGCAGCCACGGGAGGCGGCCGCCGCCGTTGGCGCGCTCGCCCCAGAGGCAGATCCGGCCGCCAACACGCTCGCCCTGGAGGTGGGGCCGCACGGGGAGGCACGGAGGAGGCGGTCGCCGGTGCGCATGAATCCGGCCGTCCTTTGCTTTCGAATCTGGCGCATGGACGCCGCTGCTGGAGGAAGACGTTGCACATGGAGAGAGACGGCAAGGGCGCTTCGCCCAGGCAGATCCGGTTGCCGGTAGCGCTTCGCCACGGAGGTGGGGCAGCGAGGAGGCATGGAGGAGGCGGTCGCCGGCACGCTTGAATCCGACCGTCATTTGCTTTCGAATCGGCCGCAGACAGACACTGGCCAGAGGTAGATGATCAAAGGGAGGGAGACGGCCACACATGAGGAGGCGCCACCATGGCGCAAGAGGGAGAGGAAGCGAGAGCTGAGGGGTAGGATTAGGGTTTGGGGTGAGGCGCCGCGGGGGGAGGCGGCCGAGCGGGGAGTCCCCGCTTATATATGCGGGGTGCGGGGGGGCGCGGGGAGGTGGCAAGCCGGGCCGCTAGCGGGCCTCCTGTACGGTAGCAGGTCGTGCCGTGCCGGCCCACGTGCCTAGGGTAAGGCCCAGACACAGCCTGCTCCTTCGGGCGGGGCCAGCCCGGGCCCGCTATCCGCCGGGCCAGGTCGTGCTTGGGCGGGGCCAAAAAAATAGGCCTTGGGCCAGGCCAAGAGGCTCAGGCTGCATGGCCAACTTTAGGCTAGGCTCTTTAAAAGGTCATGATGGTCTCTGAGTTGAGCCGTGAGATAAGAATCACAACAGAGAAACACATGAGCTTTGGCAGCAGTTGCTTAGCACTTGGTAGCAGTCAGGCTACGTTCACTTATCTTATAATCCGTATTTTTTAGCTTATTTTTTTAATTGTAACAGTATTTTTTTCTCATAATAAATCAGCCGAAATAATATTTCATCTTATTTTTTCAGGGAAACGAACGGGCATGTATAATATAGCTCTGGCCATCCACCCCGCTCACTCCACTGCAGTCTCCAGCACTCGATACCACGCCGTGCGCCCGTGCCCAACGAGCGGCAGCTTATAGACTTGTCGTCGATCGCCTGGTTGCCAATGTCTACACCGTCGTCCTCTGCTGCCAATGGTTCAGCCGCGCTCCATACGACCGCCAGGCCGAGGTCCGGGCACTGGACGCCACCAAGGCTGGCGTCCGCGGCGTCGTCGCGTCTGGTGCCACCACCGTGCCGCGCATCTTCCGGGTCCCCGACTCCATCCCCACGACGACGACCGACCGACCATGCCGCAGTGAAGCTCGACCAAGGAGCGGCGGCGCCATCCGTGCCCGTCATCGACGTCGGGGGTACTGACCACGGAGCAGTGGTCGCGGCCGTCCGGCGCGCAGCGGAGGAGTGGGGGGCGTTCCTCGTCACGGGGCACGGCGTGCCGCAGGAGGTGACATCCGCGACCCTGCGCGCCGCGAGGGCGTTCCACGACGCCGACGGCGGCGAGGGCAGCGAGAAAGCGCGGCTCTTCTCGCGCGAGCCGGGAAAGAGTGTGTGGTACAACACCAATTTTGACTTCTATGACTCTCCGGTGGCCAATTGGCGTGACAGCCTCTACATCAACATGGACCCCAACCCGCCGGACCCTGCCGAGCTGCCGGAGAACTGCCGGTGAGTGCTTTCTTCACCCCCTGAAAACTCTCTACTTTTAACCGGTTTTAATTTGTCAAAGTGTTCGTGCATATGCATGAGTATATATTCATAATAAGTTGGTTTGTCAAAGGTAAAGCGGTTCATGCATGCAAGAATTCCAGTACACCTCGACAAGTATCAAAACCTTGTTGATTTTCCACATCATCTAGTTACTTTGAATTCTTTTCAGAAAACTAAGCACGGATCTCATTAAAGACAGAGCTGTAGCAGCTTCTGAATGTCATCAAGATATGAATCCAAGTTTTGCTTATTCACAGGACAATACTGACTAATTTATGAAGATCTGAATTTTGAATTACTAATTTATGCAGATCTGAATTTTTAATATACAATGCTTAACTTGCATCAAGTTAACTATACTTAACTATATTTTCAGGGACGTGTTTTTTGACTATGGCAAACATTTGAAGCGCTTACAGGAAACTTTGTTTGGATTGCTCTCAGAGGCTCTTGGGCTTAATCAGAGCTACTTGTCAGACATTGGCTACAACCAAGGCCAGATGGTATACTGCCACTACTATCCGCCATGCCCCCAGCCTGAGCTTGCCATCGGGATGGTTCCCCATTCGGATTGGGGATTCCTAACTATACTTCTGCAGAACGAGGTTGATGGCCTGCAAGTCCTGCATAATGAAGAGTGGGTCAATGTTGTACCGATTCCTGGAGCATTCATCGTAAACCTCGGTGACCTCTTACAGGTAATTAACAGTCCATACCCTTGGTAGAGTCTGTTTCTTTTCATTCCTGTTTCTCATCATCTCAATACAACAGGTGTTATTGTTAACAGTTAAAAAAAGATTCTGGTAAAAGTTAGTGATGCACATTTCTGAACTGATATCATTGTGCATATGTGCCCAGATGCTCTCAGACGACAGATTTAAAAGTTGTGAGCACAGAGTTCTTGCCACAAGTGTCGGACCAAGAGTGTCAATTGGAAGCTATCCCACCCGCTGGTTCAACCAGGATCTATGGCCCCATCAAGGAGCTACGGTCCCATGAGAACCCAGCACTGTACAAGGAAACACTCGCAAGTGATTACCGAAAGCATTGCACTGCAATCGGATTAGGCAATAAACCAATAAGGGCCGATTTAAGGTTATAAATCCGAAGGGAATTGATTATGTTGCTAGGTAGACGTCGACACAGAATTTTTGTCTCCGTGCCGAGGACACACGCAGCAAGCCGGAAGGGTCCGCTCGATGGAGCAGATCCGCCTAGCTTCAGCGCAAAGGTGGTCGATCCTGCGCAATCCTCCCGAGACGTGCCAGTCAATTTGACCCTGCAATTGACAAGGAGAGAAAGCTCATCAGTAATTAAGGGCGGAACGTGCCGGTGTTGCCAGACAGCCCCGAATATGCGGCTCTGAGAGCCGATATGAGAGGAGATCGACTAAATAGTCGATTCCAGCATATTCATAAGAATAAATCGATTAAAACTCATGGGGTTGTATAAGAAGAATTGGTTGTCATTCAGGATAAATATTATTTAAGCAAATATTAATCAATGACAATAAGATATCAATGATGATCGGTTTATACTGAGCCAATAATTACAAGTAACTAAACTCCTTTTTATATAAAGAAACAATTCAATACCACTTGATGATTTAATAAAGATAAATCTAATGAACATGTTAGATCTCATCTATTGCCATGATCAGTGGGACATGAAGCAGAATCATGTAGGCCGTAAAAACAACAACAGACTCGACGGTCCTAACTCATTACTAATATCAGTATGGCATAAGGCAGAATCATGTAGGTCGTAATACAATAATAAGATCATGGGGCTAACATATCTTTCAACTCATCTCTACTTCAATAATCTCGTAATGTGAACTGTTCGTGAAAGCATTCGATATCGGCTAAACAGCCGATTCATGCATAACGCACAGTTAAGGTCATGTCTTCTCAGGAACGGGTCTACCAACTAAGGATCCCCACTCCACGGTGCCAACAGTGGGGTGAGAGGTAGAATCCCACAGGCCGTGATGACGGGCCATGGAACGGTTTTCATTAACTAATAGATCTACTTAAGATCGAACATGCCTTAACCGCACGCTATGCACGATTAAGATTGACGCAAAACAACCGATAAAAAACATAACGCATCGCTTAAGATGTAGATTAGATCAATTTTAGATTAGCAAACGATGAGTTAAACAAGATATAAGGCCGATCCAGATCAATCTCAATCGGGCAAAATAATATTGTTGTAATTAGATAACCAATGAAAACAATAAGCAATATCGGTAACTTAATGAATCTACCAAAGATTGTCATACTAAGGTAGAACCGATAACTTGACCTTGATCTAATTCAAACAGTGGGGTGTGAGGCAGAATCACACAGGCCATACTTGAATTAGACAAGAGTCGATAACTAGCCTATACCAGAGTCGCAGTGGGGGTCGACCGGATCGATACAGCCATACGAACAGAGGTATAAACCATGACGGTACTTACAGACAAGCAGTGGAGGTCGACCGGATCGATGCAGCCGTACTCGCTGAAGAACTCGTCGAGATCTACTCTACTCCTACTCCTAAGGGGTGGCCGGAGCCGAAAAAAGTAATTGACTTGTATTTGATTGATTGTTGTCTTTACAATAGCCGGGGTTTGATATTTATACCCGGAGTCTAAACATGAGTCCTACTCGAGCACGATTTGTTACAACTTTTGACATAAAATGAAAATATTCCTAATTTAAGATAACTTGGACTCTAATATTTCCCTTTTTGTAGAGTCCAACATGTCTCATCCCAGCGCCGATCATAGCCTCTGTCGTTATCTGCTGGCGCTATCTGAAGAAAGCCGATTCTAGTGCTGCATCCGAATCAGCTGGTTTCGATCTGCATGCAATTGATCCCTTGTTTATATAATTTTGAGAGCTCTCGAGCTTCTGAGATCCTTCTTCCAAATTCTGGTGTAAACACATGCCCCCCAATTTTGGGATAAAAGTAATTTTATTTCAAAATTATCCTGTCTGCATCCCTGATTGGTCCACAGTCATGGGTAGAGAATCTTGATCTGGAGTCCACTGTTTGTCGCCGCTTGCATCCATTCACGAGCCTATGCCTCAAAACTTTTTACAAGAGCATCACTGTTTCACGGGCATTTGGATTCATCTTCCCGGGCTGGCTATAAAACGCTCGTCTGACCCCGGCGAGAGCAACTCAACACTTCAGCCATGTTTTTCTTCCATCCGTCTTTTCGAGTGCTCCCAACTCCGCTGGACCCCACATGGCCTATCTCTTTGCGATAAAGATCTTGAGCGGTTAGAAGAATTCTTGTGCATAGGGTGACTGTGTCGCTTATTCTAGCGCTTCGTTGAGCAAGAAGACCAGCTATGGCGGTTAGAAGAATTCTTGTGATATCATATAAGTCTTTTCTCCATGCTCGCAAAGCTGTAGGGGCTAGAATGTGCGAATACCCTCCCCCTGTTTGGTCCTCTAAATGCCCATTAGAAAAGTCACAAGCTTCTTTCCAGTGGCTTCTTAGTCACCGAGAAGTCAGCTGGACATCTAGGCAGGCGGTTTCTCCCCTTCTCTGGCACATTTTATCAATGGGCCGATGTGACTTGGTTCACGATGACCCTCGGCCTTGTGAGGATCCGGACTCCCTTCAATCCAAAGAAGCTTTGGTGGATCGATTTCTGGTCAATGTAAGCTCTTCGTATCCATACCACGATACCCTCCGGCGAAGCCGATTTTGCCTTCCCGGGCTATATATATATACGGGCCACGGCTGAGGACCGAGAAACAACCCGTTTTGCCTCAATCCCTCTGCATCCTCAGTATAGTCCCTGCTTTTCTGTAGGTTTGAGGTCATGGAGAACAGCAAGGGGTTTGCTGAGGAGGCCATCAGCAGATCTGCATCGTCGCGTTAGTGCTTTCATCATCGGGAGGGTATAACTTGTGACACCCCCACTGCCTCGGGGAACAGGGCCGACTCCGTTTGGCCTTTAGGGTCCTCTTGTTAACGGCTCGTCGCCAGCTTCCTTGTTATCAAAGGAGGCGGATGGACAATGACGATCTGCTTACCTCCATCGATCGACATGGCCAGGGTCTCCCCGAATGTCTCTCCCTTGTAGAATCGGCTCTGGCCATGGTTCGATGTCGTTCACCTCCCAAGGCCGATTCAGTGGAGGACAGGATGGCCAAAGCCAAGGCCAGAATCACGGGTGAGATATCTGTCATAACCTTTGCTTCCTTTCAATTTCATCCTTAAGACTCTGATCGTCTCTCCTTTTAATCTTTAGATTTGTCTGTCCAATTGGAGAGCCTTCGATCGATCACGGATTATGCAGCGGGATTCATCAACGCTAGAGGCCCCGCCCCAGTGGTTCACCCGTACGACATCCTGAACCATGTCAGGGAGGTCGCTCTACATGTCGTTCGTCATGGTGCTGCTATGGTGTTGGCTGTTGCACAAGCCCATTCTAGCCATGATCTTTGGTTTCTTCCCTGTGGAGCAACAACCACCGGATACCCTGGAGATTATGAGCGACTGGTCGAGGATTTCTCCGACACCGCCAACTCTATAATTTTCATCTCCCAGGTCGATGATATATTAGCCAAGGTGTTTTCTGGCCCTTAGTTTGTAGTAGGTAATATTGGCAAACAATTCCTCTATCTTGGGTGATTTTTCCTTTTGTCTCGTACTTCATACTATATGCATCACTCTGTCCATGTTTGCTTGGCTCCTACGGGATATACACACTGTACTGGCTTTTACCCTTCTGGGCTTATTTTCGCACCAGAAGTGATACCCTTCTGGTATCGGCTATTATAGCTGTCAACCGAGCAAATTGATTGTCAAGTATTAATCCAAACATTAGGGTAATATTCCTTCAAATATTCCCCATTCGATTGCTCTATCGAATCCTTTTTCTTTTAGTGTTTCCAAAGTGTAAACATCACCAGGCGCACAACGCTTGATCCGATAAGGTTTCTCCGATTAGGTGACCATACCAGTCATCTCACTTCTGGTTGTCAAGGGCAATCCATTTCCAGTTTTCGGCCTCTTCGGTTTATCTGAGGATGATTTCAAAGACGTGCTGTGCTTATGGCGGTCAATGGCAATATTGAGAGCGATCCATGATGCTCTAGACCTGAAATCAGCATGTCAACGCGTATCCTGTGTAGAATTGATCATACTCTCTATTATTTAATTGCGCTTCCATTTTTTGGCTAAAGAGCCGATTTGATACAGCCGATCCTAGACTTCTAATCCAATTAAGTCTAAAAACACGACTTTTATTGAGAGAACCCTTCGATTTTCTGCCTTCAGTTGCTCAACACCGTACTTCCATTGGCATCAGTGAAGTGGCGCTTCGCCTTCTATTAATTGCGGTTGCCTTTTACACGTTTCGAGGCGTCTGCCTCTTCACTTCAGGTCTTCAAATACCAACCGGTGGTTTTGGCCTCCAACCCATCTCCACTCGCAACTGTTCCTTTGCCCTTCTCCACCTGCCAAAAACCCTATAGCGGTTTTTTCTTCTCCCTTTCGTAGATCCAATAATTCTTCATGGCCGGTGAAGACAATCGAGGCAAGCGCACGGCGGAGGAGATCCCAGAAGAGAATATACCGATGAACCAGCGTCTCCGGCGCATGAGGTGAGATTGACAATTCTTGTTTATGATGATGAATAGTTCTGACTCGCCTACAGGTTTGTTGTGAATGACAGTCTCCGTCCTCTTCCTAGGGCCGGCGAGCCTTCTGACGTCGCATCTTCTATGTCGGCCTCGTCGTCGGACTCTTCCGACTCCTACAATGGCGATGACACCCGGCGCTATCTTCATGAGTGGAGGATGGCTTAGAACCGTTACTCCGAGGTGACCTAGGAGACTGGGCAATTGGAGATTCGCCTCAGGGTTTCCTAGGCTGCTCTTCATGCGACCGAGGAAGAGGCTAACGCCGCTCGAGTGCGGCTAACTGAATTGGATGCCGCAGTGGCAGGTAAAATGAGCCTCAGGGACGCCTTTTATTCTGATTTCGG